ACAACTGCAATAAAGATTATTACCTGAAAGATGGTCATGTAGCTTTACTAAGCATTTACTCTAGGAAATGTAGCATCTAGCCCAGTTACTAGAAGTATGGTTCCTGAACTAGTAGATCCTGCACTACCCAGGCACTTGTTAGAAAAGCACATTCTTGGAGCCTGCACCAGATCTACTGAATTAGGAACTGTGCTGGATAGCTTTAGTGTCAACGTGACACACCTGAGTTGAGGGAGCCTCAACTGGGGACTTGCCTTCAGGCCATGTCCATGGGGCAACTTCCTGATTGTTCAGTGATGTGGGAGGGCCCAGCCCCTGTGGGTGGTGCCACCCCTGGGCAGGTGGGTCTGTGTTGTATAAGAAACCAAGCTGGGGGGGGGGGGCAGGCAGGGGAGCAAGCCAGTAAGCAGCATTCCTCCATGGCCTGTGCTCCAGCTCCTGCTTTCAGGTTCCTGCCCTGAGTTCCTACCGTGGGCTCCCTAATGAACTGTGACCCAGGAGATGAATAAAGCTGAATAAACCCTTTCCTCCCCAAGTAGGTAGTGGTCAGAGTGTTTTGTCACAGCAATGGAGAAACAAACTAGGACAGGAACTAGAGGTGGAACCTAACAATCTGTGTTTTAACCTGCCTGCCTTGTAGTTCTGATGTGTGCTAAAATTTGAGAACCACACATCTAGCCAAACATTAGTAATAAGAAGGTATGTATGACTAAAAAGAAAATATCTGAGGTTTTTTTTAACCTTTAAGAGTCACAGAGCAAATGTACCATGGCATCAATTATACTCAAAAACAAATTCTCAAGTTTTATATTATAAAATCATGTAATTAAATAATAGCACACAAATTTGGAAGACATTTTAATTACATAGTACATAATAATTTGGATAAAGAATAAGAAACAAACTCTGGTAGAAGTAACAACAGTTCTGAACATAGGCAAGTTTTAATTTACTGGGTTTTCTCACAAAAGTGTTGCTGCTATATCATAAAAATCACATTTCTCCTGAAGACAACCCCCCAGAGCATCTTAATGTTCTCAGTCAGCCTGAGGAAGTGCTTCATCACTGACTCAGAGAAAAGACCTTCACTTGACTGAATCATCAGCAATGTTTCCTGTGTTTTAGATTGGTCATTGCATCTGCTAAGCGACAGGAAAAACAGGCTTGAAATTTTTAATCTAAAAATATCTCACCAGAGAACACTATCATAATGGCTTCCCAACTCAAGATTCAAAGGTCTTGATATTAATAAAGCACATGCAGACAGTAACAAGTAATAACAGAGAGAAATCCTATGAAACTATGCTTAAAAGCTCTTTGAGATTTCTCTTTTTTCAATTAAAAAAAATCTTGAGAGCTTCAAGACAGTGCTTCCCTGGAAAGATGAAAATGGAATATCATAATTAAGAACTAACTTTAGTATTCATCTCTAGTTTCTGAGTGGAATGTTAAGTAGAAATACTTTCTGGAAAGGTTCTCTAACTGTAAATGAATTTTATTTTACCATTACTTGGTAGATGACCCTGGCCTCTCTTTTTGATTAACATTCCTGAGCTCTGAGGAATTTTAGTTCCTTCAAACATAAGCTTCCTCTATTTAAAGAATCTGAGTTTAAAAGCAGAGGTTCAAATAGGAGGAATAAGTTCAACAGTTGTTACCTACAATAGGAGTCCTATCCTAGGAAATCCAATATTCTGCAACCTGCCCCATTCTCAGAGTTACTATCTAGTTTTGTTTTGTTTATTCATGCAAAGTAGAATTATATCTTCTCTCCTTGTGAGTTGCTTTTCTCTACCCCACAAATAATGAATAATTATAGATACATTTCCTGTCATGGAAAGAAGTATACATATATGCTTGTTTGATTTGAAGCAAGGACTCCCTGTAGCCCCAGCTGGCCTGGAACTCACTATGTGGACCAGACTGGTCTCAACCTCATAGAGATCTGCCTGACTGCTGGAATTAAAGGTGTGCATCACCATGCCCATGTGATGGTGCGTTTTAATTGTTAACTTGACCCAAACTAGAATTACTTGGTAAGGAGTGTCAATGAAGAATTGTCTAGATTAAATTGGCCTGTGGGCATGTCTGTAGGGGACTGTCTTGATTAGTGGGAAGGACCAACCCACTGCGGGCAGCACCATTCCCTGGGTAGGGTGTCCTGGATTCTATAAGAGCAGAGAAATGAAGCCGAGCACTGACTTACATGTATTCATTAAATGGGCTCTGCTCTTGACTCTGGATATAATGTGACTAGCTGCTTCAGTTTCCTGATACCCTGACATCCCTGAAGTGATGTACCAGAACTTGGAATTGTGAGCCAAATAAAGGCGTTCAACCTTAAGTTGCTTTGGTCTTTCTTCTTCTTATTATTTTTTTTTTAAATCACAGCAACAGGAAATGAAACTAAGACACTTGCCAAAATTATTTCTTCATGGTCTCATAAATGCTTATAATCACTTACTGTCTATAAATACTTATCTGCCTAGAATGTTACAGATACTGTAGGAGCAAAATGAGTCTACAAAGATGTAGACTTCAGTGATCAGACCCTGGACTCTATGTGCCTGCAGTGCTAGATTTAATTTCTCCGAAAGACAAGAACAGTGATTAACAATTACAAGTGAACCAGAATCATCTGGAGAGCTTGTAAAAAACAGATTCCCCACTCTTTGAGTTTCACTACAGTAGGTCTGAAATAGGACCCCCAAGTTAGCTTTTCTAATGAATCCCTGATTAATGCTGATACAGCTGGTCCAGATACCATATTTGGAGAATCATTTATTAAGACAAATGACAGCTCTGCACACCATGCCTGCCATGTTTCAATCACTGTACCTCACTCTCTTAAGGAAAGCAATGGTCTCATGAATGCCCATAATCACTCACTCAGGCAGAACTTGGGTTCACAGAACTACCTCAAATAGTTACTAAGATCAGTAGCTCCAGAATCAAAGCAGTATACAGCATGGACGAGAAGACTCTCCTTAGGGGCTTTTCTCCCTTCATGCTTTTCTTCCATTTTATACCCAATCAGAATAAATAATTTCTACTTTTCAATATGAGTGTTATGGAAAAGAATACCTCAATTAGATTTTTCATACTGTTTACTTCAATAAACTCATTGTTTTCTTTTAAATTAAGTTTTCATGTCCCCCCTTCCCTCTTGTTGGACTATGTGCTCTCTGAACAAACAGAATCATAGGTTGAAGGAACATTGGGAGTTCATTTAATCCTTCCTTGGCCTCAGACAAGACTGTGTCTAAACCATCCCCAAATATAGCAATTTCAGCAAAAGAACAGCAGTAAGAATTTCCCATTCAACATTCTGTCACATACTTGAAGATACTAACATGCTTCCCCTCTGCCTTCTCTTCTCTACGCCAACTAACCTCAATTTTAGAATTTCCTTATTAGATTTCCTAAGCTTTAAGTTATTTGGACTCTTCTTTAATAAGTTTATTCTACTTTACTCATGGCCTAAATTAAACATACATTATTCTAGTGTAGATTTTTTTGTTGGTATGTAGAAAGGGGAAAGTTAACTTATAGGGTAACTAAAAGAGATTTAATTAGTACAAAGAAAGATGTATGTATAAATGCCACTAAAATATAATGCAGTGGCCCTCATGTGAACAGTGAATTAGCTGAGGATAATCCACAGTAGTATTAGTCAGAGGTACTTTTTATTTATTAAAGGAAGTGGTAATGCATTATAGTTTTAAAAACTTTATATTACCAATCATCAGCCATCTCACACATAAAGTGAGAAGAACTTTTAAGATATGCTGTATATTCTACATAACCATATTTCATGATATGACAACAGAATATTAATAGATTATTATCTATTTGCTACTAAAATTAGAACTGTTGTAATGGATGTCTTAATTCTTATGAGTAAAAATATGGATTCTGTTATATGGCAATCATTTTCCTTAAAACAATTTTTCCTATTCAATGCTTTAGGTGTTTAGTGGTCCAGTGGATAAGATAGGATAAAACCCATGGGAAATGTATCCTGCATAGTTTAGAATGGGAATGGCTCACTATTTTCAATTTCAACATTCTGAATATCATTATTTTAAATGTAAACTTTGGTTTTGGAATGGTGAGGTACTCTAGGTCAGCTTGGGTCTGAGGGCAGGTTTGCTTCCTTGCCTATTGGGATATGAAGATACATGGTGGAGGCGATGCATTTAGTCTCCAGAGAGAAGGAAGATGCTGCTTGCACAGCACTTCTACTCACCAGTCCATGCAGCAGCAAGGGTGTTGGCTTTGAAGGAAGCCAACTGTCCTGCTCTCCCAGCCAGAGGTAAAGAATTGCATTGGTGGCCACTAGAGGGAGGAGGATTAGGAATAGAGTAAATTGCGGGGAAAAGGCACCCATGAAAAACGCACATGGGACAACCAACACATCACCAACCACTGCCTAGCAGCTACGGCTACCTCTCTGAGGGATTATATGGGGTCACTATACATCACTAGCCCAGAGACCCAGACACCAGTAATTATGTAGCATCCCAGTATATTGCCCCTTAACTTTGATGGCTGGAGGAGGGAGTTTGAATGCGATTGTGGGAAATACACAATCATACAAGCACAAGCACACAGCACACATACATTCTCATGCCCCATTGCAAGAAGTTGCATTTGTGACGTCTGATTCTTGCTCATTTTCTCATTTAAAACTCTTGATGTTCTTTACCAAGAATGTGTTCATGAAAAGTAAACAGCCCACCTTCAAGATAGTCTTGGAGAAGCACCAGCAGAGATACTCATTGTGCCAAGATGTATTTTACCAACAAATCTGTATAAATTACATGAGGTTGAAACAAACAATACAATACAATTAAAAGTTTCTTTTGCTAAGTTACAGCTTGAAGCAAACCTGAAAAAAATGTTTCCAATTAGCTTTTTTAACAAACACAAAGCACTGTCCAGAGTACATCATATTTTTCATCCTGCCCGCTGGGTGGGCTGCCTAGCAGGTGTCTTACCTCCAGCACAAGTAGCTGAGCACTCTGACCAAGGCTGATGATTCCACATAAAGCCAACTTCATTATCTCCACTGCCAGTGCGAGTGATGGGAACATTGAACTTGTACCTAATTCCCAAATTCTGTTCTTGGAGTAGAACCTGTCATTGAAAACAACTGGTGAAGATAATTAAAATAAATGAGCCTTCATTTAGATACTTATTATTTCTTTTGAAGAAGAAAATGTCATAGAGCAAATCTTACAGGAAATTTAAGATGTTTATTTATTTGCTTCTATAGCCCCCAGCTGGCCTGGAGTCACTTTGGAGACCAGACTGGCTTCAAACTCATAGAGCTCTGCCTGCCTCTGCCTCCTCAATGCTGAGATTAAAGGTGTGCACCACCACGTCTGGTTCTACTTCGGCTTTTTGAGATAACGTCTCACTATGTGGCTCAGGCTGAGCTTGAACTCAAGACATTTTCAAAAAATTATTATATACTTATTTATTTATGTCGGGAGGGCATACATGCCATGGTATACATGCAGAGGTCAAAGGACAACATTCAGCAGTCAGTTCTTTCCTTCCATCATGTAGATCCTGGGGACTGAACTCAGGTCCTCAGGCTTGGTGGCAAGCACCTAACCAATGAGGCATCTTAACGAGCACTCAAGGCAGCCTTTAAAGTGATGTGTTTACACAAAATTTTCTCCTTCCATGTGTAGTTTGGAGTCATTTTTCTCAACTGCATTTCTTGATTATAAAAATACTACTCAAGAAAATACTGAAAAGATGAAAGTCATATGGAAAAAAACTTTATGGCCTGAACTCTTTTAGCCAAATTTCTAATTGGGAAAATTATTTTACCTTTATTGCCTTAATGTCATCATCTGTAAAACAGATATGATAAAACTCACCCCTTTCTATTTCATAATGAGGAAATTACAGCAGAAATATGATGACAAAGACACATTTACCATTACAATGAGGTTTTCAGAGGTGGGGCCTAAGGCTTCCAAGGATTCTGGTTCATCTGTTGGTCTCTTGTAGTGAAAAGCTGTCCCAGCAACATCAAATTTCCTAGGCCAGTCAATAGTCCAGGCACCATTAATATAGTAATCATCCCCTTCAGATTTTAAAGCTGGAAAACAGAACCAAAATCCACCTAAAAATGTGAAATTTCATTTACCAAATTGTCATGGATCAATTATTACACTAAAGTTTATAATGAATACCCATTTTAATTCAAAAATGATGCTTGGCCATCTTCCTCCCTCTCTCCTTCTGTCCTTCCCTCCCTTACTTTGTTTTTTTGAGACAAGTTTTCACTATGTACCCTAGGCTGGTATGTGGGGGTTACCATGTCTAGTGACCATTTTCTTAAATACAAATTGCAATCAGGAACATACAGCAGCTGATGATGCCTGCACTGAGTCTATACAACAGAGACCATCAACAATTAGGAATGGAAGGAAGAGAGGCTCAGGGATCCCTACCTCTCACTTCCAAGCTGTTTGCTATAGCTATATTCAGGGAGAGGGGGAATCACTGCCTTTAGTTGTGACCCTATAGTTGTGACTCCAGTGGATAGTCCTAATGGTCATACAGATAGCCCTGGTTAAACTAAATGGGTCAGAAACAGATTCAAAAGTCATGAATCTGGGCATGGAACTGGTGGAAGGGGTGTGGTACAGACAGGAGTGTGTGGGGGACAGAACAATAGGAATGCATTATATACTGGGGCTGGAGAGATGGCTCAGTGGTTAAGAACACTGGTTGTTCTTGCAGAAGAGCTGGGTTTGAATCCCAGCACCCACATGATGGCTAACAACTGTCTGTAACTCCAGTCCCGGGGATCTGACAGCCTCTTCTGACCTCCATGGGCACTGCATGACATGGGTACACTTACCTACATGCAGGCAATACATGCATACACATAAAATAAAAATAATAAATAAAAATTTAAAAAGAATGCA